TCAGATTGTTTGTTGCTAGTGTATAGAAATACATGCTTTTTGTATATTGACATTATATTTTGCAACCCTGATAAATCCATTTATTAGTCCTCATAGTTTTGTTTTTATTAGATTTCTTAGGATTTTCTACATATAAAACCTTCTTTCTCAATATGGATGTCTTATATTTATTTTTCTTGCCTAATATCCCTTGCTTGAACCTTCAAGACAACAATCAATAAAAATGATGAGAGAGATCTTAGGGGAAAATAACTCAGTCTTTCAATATTAAGTATAATATTAATACAATCTTTCTTTTGGTCCTGAATTGACTTCACATTTAGGAATCCTATGCACATAGTTCTCAAGAAATAGCTGTTGATTGGCCCAATGAAACAAAAATCTCTCTGGTTTTGAAAGTCATTTTTTTTAGGTATAACTAATAAGTCAATAGAATCTATATTTATAAACTATATTATAATGTAGATATGCATGAATTACTGGCTTAGTCATGTATTATAATAATATCAACTACACATGGTAAAAGCTTGGTTATCTTTAGTGAGAATGATGGTTATATTTCCCAATACAAGCAAAATCTTTTTCTACTTCACATGTTGTTAGTTAGTCATTACACAGGTAACATAAATATGCTACCATCTACTAGGGCTGTTTAAGATAGGTTGTGATTCCCATTAGATGTTATCACTACTAATTCTTCCCATTATGTACTGGTTTGTCAATGTCAGAAATTCATTTCTGGCATGACAATGTATAACACGTCAACTTTCTTTTTTAAAATTCCATTGTTTGGAAAGAAAACATGTCAAAGCCCTCTATTTGATAGAATCTCCTTGTATAATGTAATTGTGAATGCAAACATTTCATAAACATAAGATTTTTTTTGTCTTACAGTGATTAATACTAGAATATACTAGTTTTAAGATTTATATATATTTGAATTTTTATGAAATATATTAGAACATCCAAACTATGGGCAGGCCTTCTAAAAATAATGGAAAACATAAGTCAAAATTTCTCAGTATTTTCATAACCCTTTAAGTAGCATAATTATACTTTATTCAAGAAACACAATACAATAGTTTTCAGTCTATTGCTGTATTTTAATATCTCAACTCCATAGTGAAACTCAGTTCACTAAAGACTGAAAATTCCTGTCTCAATAGGTGATGAAGACAGTGGATACATCTCAATCTCTATGCAGCCTTTATTTCTTTTCCTCCTTCAAGGANTTTACCTGGCTTAGGAAAATTTTTAGTTGTTATTTCTTTAAGCAGGCTTTCAGCCCCTTTATTTCTCTCTCTTTCTTCTGAGACCTCTATAATGTATATAGTAATCAATTTAATGGTATATCATAAGTCCCTTAACTATCTTCAGTCTTTTTCATTCTGTTTTCTTTTTGCTTGTCTAGTTGGATTCCACTGGCCTGACTTCAAAGTAGTTGCTCTTTTCTTTCCCTTAATCTAGTCTGCTGTTGAATCCTATATTGAATTTTGCTGTTTAGTTATTGTATTCATCAGCTTTGTGATTTCTGTTTGGTACCTTTTTATATTTTCAGTTTCTTTGTTGAAATCCGCATTTTGTTTTTGTGTTGCTTTCCTGACCTCAGGAAGCATCTTTATAACTGTTTTTTTTTTTTTTTTAAACTCCCTTCTGGATAAACCAGTGCAGACTAAACTCCTGGTTGTCTCTCAAATCTGTGTGTTTGCTCAAGCTGCCTTCTTTGAGCACCTAGATGCAGGTGATTATAAGCTTGACCCTCAGGCAGCAGCTTGTAAAGTATGCAGTCAAACTCATTTAAGGAAAGATTGGAAAGAAGATATTTTGCCTGTTTCCTCTACACCGAGCCCTTGGGGGTAGCCTTGGCAAGTAGTCTTGTGCACTATCTGTCATTGAGAACTGCTTTGTTGTTGCTACAGTCCTGTGGGACTTGTGAATGCAAGCTCAGTTAGCTATCAGATTCAGTTGTCCCTTGGGCAGCCTAAGCAGAAGGTGGGGGTACCAGGCATGTGCACAGTCTCCTTATAGAGATATCCTGACAACCTGGTTTTAGAGTTAGAGAAAGCTAGAGGAAGGAAAGGGGCATAAATGCTCACCAGCTCCCCTGGACTCCATGTAGGATCACAGCCAGCCCCTACATGTGTGAAGCTAGACCCTTGAAGATGGACTCTCAGGCAGCAGGTTGCAAAGTAGAGTCAATTCTCTTCCAGGAAAAGGCTGGGAGCTGGACATTTTTGCTTTCTCCCTCTGTGCTAAGGCCAGTTGCCATAGTCACACTGAGTACTCATGTGCCCATTTAGAATGCCTTCTTTTTCTATAGTCCTGTGGGTCTTGTGGATGCATGTCTCACTGGCTTTCAGAGGTATATATTTTGTTTGGGATCTGTCTCTTGAGTGGCAGGCGTGCTAAATTTGTGGTCCAAATCCTTGCTCTTCATAGAGAAGATGGGAGTTGGGGATTCCCTCTCAACTGTATGACACTGGGCCAGGGATAGTGTTTATAGAGAGAATGTGTCTCAGCCTTTTCTACCCATTTTGATGTGGGTACTTTCTTAGTTGCCTGATGTGTAGGAGTCACTCAGCTACTTTCTGGATTTCTCTCAGAGGAACTGCTCCATGTGAGCATCTGTGGGATGAAGGACATTCAGGAGCTTCCTGTGTCTCCATCTTGATTTCTCCAGCTAACTCAGTCTTGATGAGTTGGTTAAGTAACAGCCCCATTAATTGAACATTATAATTGTAAGTTATAAATGGAATTGTTTTCTTAACTTCACTTTCAGATTGTTTGTTGCTAGTGTATAGAAATACATGCTTTTTGTATATTGACATTATATTTTGCAACCCTGATAAATCCATTTATTAGTTCTCATAGTTTTGTTTTTATTAGATTTCTTAGGATTTTCTACATATAAAACCTTCTTTCTCAATCTGGATGTCTTATATTTATTTTTCTTGCCTAATATCCCTTGCNTTTTATTAGATTTCTTAGGATTTTCTACATATAAAACCTTCTTTCTCAATATGGATGTCTTATATTTATTTTTCTTGCCTAATATCCCTTGCTTGAACCTTCAAGACAACAATCAATAAAAATGATGAGAGAGATCTTAGGGGAAAATAACTCAGTCTTTCAANCCCTGATAAATCCATTTATTAGTTCTCATAGTTTTGTTTTTATTAGATTTCTTAGGATTTTCTACATATAAAACCTTCTTTCTCAATCTGGATGTCTTATATTTATTTTTCTTGCCTAATATCCCTTGCAATACAATCTTTCTTTTGGTCCTGAATTGACTTCACATTTAGGAATCCTATGCACATAGTTCTCAAGAAATAGCTGTTGATTGGCCCAATGAAACAAAAATCTCTCTGGTTTTGAAAGTCATTTTTTTTAGGTATAACTAATAAGTCAATAGAATCTATATTTATAAACTATATTATAACGTAGATATGCATGAATTACTGGCTTAGTCATGTGTTATAATAATATCAACTACACATGGTAAAAGCTTGGTTATCTTTAGTGAGAATGATGGTTATATTTCCCAATACAAGCAAAATCTTTTTCTACTTCACATGTTGTTAGTTAGTCATTACACAGGTAACATAAATATGCTACCATCTACTAGGGCTGTTTAAGATAGGTTGTGATTCCCATTAGATGTTATCACTACTAATTCTTCCCATTATGTACTGGTTTGTCAATGTCAGAAATTCATTTCTGGCATGACAATGTATAACACGTCAACTTTCTTTTTTAAAATTCCATTGTTTGGAAAGAAAACATGTCAAAGCCCTCTATTTGATAGAATCTCCTTGTATAATGTAATTGTGAATGCAAACATTTCATAAACATAAGATTTTTTTTGTCTTACAGTGATTAATACTAGAATATACTAGTTTTAAGATTTATATATATTTGAATTTTTATGAAATATATTAGAACATCCAAACTATGGGCAGGCCTTCTAAAAATAATGGAAAACATAAGTCAAAATTTCTCAGTATTTTCATAACCCTTTAAGTAGCATAATTATACTTTATTCAAGAAACACAATACAATAGTTTACAGTCTATTGCTGTATTTTAATATCTCAACTCCATAGTGAAACTCAGTTCACTAAAGACTGAAAATTCCTGTCTCAATAGGTGATGAAGACAGTGGATACATCTCAATCTCTATGCAGCCTTTATTTCTTTTCCTCCTTCAAGGACAAGATCCTCACCAAAGAAATATGTGGTGGGAAAAAGAGAAAATGAAGAAAACATTCTGAATTTCTCTAAGATATACCACTTTTGAGATCAAGCCCTGGGGCAGATGGTACTCTAATAAAGCAATGACTATGGCTCTCTGCATGGCTAGTTTAGCCCTTACACGGCAGTTAACAAGAAATACCTAGTGAGCCTTGCCAAGAATTTAAGAGGTCTTGCCTTAGGCCTTTAAGAATTTTATACTGATGCATGTGTCTAGTTCAATAACCAACTCTATTTAACATGTGAAAAGCTGACATAATTTTTAAAAATTTGAATTACAATAAAAAACTTAAATAGCCATTTCAATCTTATTTTTCTTAAAATTAGAGAACATGGGTCACCAGTTTCCATCATTCTTGTAATATCCCTAAGTATTGGCAATCTTTATTCATAAAATGGCACATTTATCATTTATGCAGAGAAAAGGCCATTATTTAATTTACCAAATGATATCATAGTAAAGCAAATGTTGTAATTAGCTTTAAAGGTCATTTTGGCAGATATCAAGCTAATGTACACAAATATATTGAATGCTACATTAGAAATATAATGACCATTGGAATAAAAATATTATCCTATGTTATACAAAGTTTAGTAAGTAATATAGTAAGAATTCTTCAACTGGTAAGAATGGTTAGTAAGTAATGTAGTATAATCATTTATTGGAATGTTATTTTAAGGCACAGTTGAAATGATCTGGAATGCTTAAGAAATTCTTATGAAAAATAGAAAATAAAGAGTTCTTACCAAGTTTGCGATGATATAATGGTAGCCTTTAACATGCTTTCCAACACTCACAATCTGTGAAGATATAAGGAAATAAGAGAAACCAGTTTAACTTTACTGAGTGATTATATTTTTAAAAAGTAGAATTTTAACTTTTTTTAGCATACTTCCTTATAGAAGTTGATGAGAAAATGATTTCATTTTCCTTATAAAAGTGAATTATTTAAATTAAAAGAAATTCATTAGCCACATTAAAAATTAAGAGGTTAAAGTAAAAAAAAACACAAAAAACCCACAACACTAATTTCAATCACACTGTAAATATAAATGAACGATTATTTCATTATACCTTGTTCAAAAATACTACTGTGCCATAATCCCCTCAAAGAGAATGATAGTATTATAAAACAAATCACTAGTTTACATATATTTCTATAAAAATATATATTAACATAAGAAGCTTAAAATGATTTTATTCCAAAAAATTTAGATGTACTTAACTTATTAATAATTTATAGAAATACATGAAGGACTATTAGGTGTCTTCAACTGGTAAGAATGATTTTCTATGAGTAGACTGGATTATTGTTGTGAGCAGCAAGTAGTATTTTTCAAGGCCTGCCTCTGTTTTTAAGACACCTCGAATACCACAGAACACGAAGTTAATTCTCCCCTGCATGTGGACCTAGCAATATTTTATTATAATAAAGAAAACAGGGGAAGACATCATCAAGACACTTTCTCTCTGCTAGACTCATATTTTTTCCCCAAGAATGTTTTTTAGGAAGTTTTAGGAAATTAGAAACCCAGAAATTCTACTTAAGAAAAAGAAATAATAGGATTTAAAAAATGTACAACTGTATTTCTGCACTAAAAATTAAAACTCTTATTTTAAAATTGAAAAATTCCTTCAATGAGAAAAAAGCAAATGACAGTCAATAATGAGCAGCTTTGTCACCTCATTGTTGCTCTCAAATATAACAACACAATATAAGATTTTCATGTACTTTCATCATCAAAGAAAAAATTACATTGTTTTTAGCATTTTAATATCCTCTAAAAGTGTTTCTTTGTAAATTAGTGACTCGTGTATGAAATACAGGAAAACCCTATTTAAATCCAGGACTTATGAATTGCGCTGGGAAGCAGTTCTGCATACACAGCTGTTGATGAAATGGAATCACTACTCATCTTGTCTTTCTTTTTGTTACATCTAAGATCTTCTCTCTTTAAGTGTCTGTATTCTGTATTTTCACTAATTGTTGTTTATACTGTTCAGGATTTGTTGTGCTTCCTGACTATGAGGATTGCCCTTCAACAATTCTCAACCAATATCCCTTAAAAATACCTTCAAAGATGTTTTTGTGTTTGCTTCTAACAGATACTGCAATGTTGATATTATGGTCCTAGGGCCACTTTCATAATGATTTACTCATTTCCAGATTCCCAGATCACAGTGTGTGCATAAATTCAAAATGCAATCTGTCTATAGAAGGCTGTGATGATGAATGCTCATAGAAGGTATCTCCCTCACCACACTAAGCCCAGGCCAAGACAGAAAACACTTAGTTGACTCCTTGTACAGGTATCAGATTTTTTTTCTATTGCTTTATTGGAGTGTTGCCCTTCAGTAGTCTGGCTTATAATGAGATCTAAGGTATCATTTATTGCCTTGACCGAGTCCATAGTTCCTGTTCTTGGGTAAGCATTAAATTTCCAATCAAGCTACCCAATTTGGCAACTTCCTTTGCTGCAGTCTCCTTCCTTCCTTCCTTCCTTCCTTCCTTCCTTCCTTCCTTCCTTCCTTCCTTCCTTCCTTCCTTCCTTCCTTCCTTCCTTCCTTCCTTCCTTCCTTCCTTCCTTCCTTCCTTCCTTCCTTCCTTCCTTCCTTCCTTCCTTCCTTCCTTCCTTCCTTCCTTCCTTCCTTCCTTCCTTCCTTCCTTCCTTCCTTCCTTCCTTCCTTCCTTCCTTCCTTCCTTCCTTCCTTCCTTCCTTCCTTCCTTCCTTCCTTCCTTCCTTC